TGACGGTAGCGAGTGGGTGGTGGTGGTGGTGGCGGGTGGTGGTGGTGGTGGTTGGTAGGTGGGTAGGTGGGTGGGTGACGGTGGCGAGTGGTAGGTGGTAGCGAGTGGGTGGTGGTGGTGTGGGGTGTGGGGGGGTGGTGGGTGGGTCGTGGGTGACAGGTGGGTGGGGTGGTGGCGGGTGGGTGGGTGACGGTGGCCGGTGGTGGTGGTAGCGAGTGGTGGTGGTGTGGTGGCGGCGCGGGGTGGTGTGGTCGGTGGCACGTAGGTGGCGGTGGTAGGTGGTGACGGGAGGTGGGTGGCGGGTGGTGGTGGTAGGTGGGTGGCAGTGGCGAGTAGGTAGGGTGGTAGTGGCGGGTTGGTGGGTGATGGTGGTGGTGGTGGCGAGTGGGTGGCAGGTGGGTGGTGGCTGGTGGTGGCAAGTGGTGGTGGGGGTGGGTGGTGGCGGAAGACGATGGTGAAAAATGGTGGCGGGTGGTGGCTAGTGTTGTGTGGTAAAAAAAAAAATAATTCAAAACTCAAAACTTAAAACGGAAACACATTTTTTGTGTTTTTATTTTTTGGCCAAATTTATAAACTGAGACCACTGATTTATAAATCAAAAATTTTACCAAACAAGTTTTTATTTGAGTTTCTAAAATTTTTGTAAATATAAACAGAAAACAGAAAATGTAAGTATTACCAAACGACACTGTATTGTTTGGTTATGACCCATTCTGGTATTAATTATTACTCATTGTAATGTTTATTATGACTTACTGTGATTATTATTTTAGTTATGATCGAACATGTTTTTAGTTATGTCTCAAGTAAGGTTTAGTTATGATCTATTATTTTTCTTTTAATTATCACTGAGAATAATTTAATCATGACATTTGTGATATCAATATTACAAATTATCATAAATTACATATGGTACACCTCCCAATGTGTATTGTAGAACAACTCATATTCTATTTTATAAATCAAATATTCTCAACCGTTAATCTTTTCAAATTCATAAAACATTTCGCTTGCGTTTGGTTGTATTTTGTAATTTTGATTTAAGAGTATGAGTTATATTTTGAGTTTGTGTGTTGTAGAATTATGATTTGAGTGTAGAAAATTTGTTTGGTAAAAAGTTTTGAAAATAGTTTTGGAAAAGAGGTTTGATTTGAGTGGGGAATTGTTGATGTGACATTTGATATATGATACAAAAATTTACAACTCATAACTAAACATACAACTCAAAATTATTTTAAAGCATATAAAAAATTTAAAAATTTTCAGAAAATATTTTTCCCGATTATATAAATCAATTGCAAAAAAAAAAAAAAATTTATTGTTTCGGACAGCCGGCCGGTCAACCGGCCAGCCGACCGGCCGGATGTCCCGTTTCCCCAAACGCCCCCTCTGCAACAAACAGAATGCTTTGACATATAGACAGAGCTTCCGGCAGAGTTTTTGAAAATTAATTCCAAAACTCTTACCAAACATCATGCTCAAACTCAAGTGTTGAAAACTATTTTCAGAGCACAAACAAACTGAGCCTTCAATTTTTAAATTATGAACTCAATCATACACTTGACAATTTTATTTCGCTAAAAGAAAATAATCATATGCACGTGTCACACCGCTTACGTATCATATACACTTCATTATAGGATGTTTTAAAAAGTTGGTAAAAATTTGATTTTTTGACTTTTTTAGTTTATTTTGTCTCTTTATAGGTAAGTTATGTGAGAGGTAATATGACATAAAATAGATAAAAAGCTGGAACTGATTTTTTACCAGCTTCCCAAAAGACACATATGTATGCCACGCCGCTTTTAGTATATTTATTTATTAATAATGCTAGGTATCATGAAAAGTCTTTCATGAAAATGATCATGAAAGATTTGTGACCTTTGGATTACACCTAAAATAAAACACCACATACTAATCAAAGTAATTTAAGGGTCACAAATCTTTCATGATCATTTTTATGAAAAAAATTTCATGATTCCTACCATTTCTCTTTATTTATACTATGTATATGGACTTAATTCTAATTATACAGAGAGCCCAATGAGATTTGAAACCAAGAACTGAGACCTAATAAAGAACAAATAAAGACAATCAAAGATATTTTATTTGCAAACGATTCATTTCAAGAGTAAAGTCGTCATATAACTTATTTTATGTTAGTTAACTTTTAAGTTGTTTGAAATGTAATGACATTTTTCTTTAATGAATAATGTTGGTACTTTTTTAGTTATAAAGTTCTATTTTGTTTGGTTTTAAAAATCTATTTTTAGAAAAAAATTTCTAAGAAGATAAAAATTAAAATGGCAAAAAAAAAAAAAATTAAAAATGCATCGTTTTTATATAATTTTATCTTTTGGGAGAGTAAAAATAATTTTTTAAAATATTTTTTTTTATATTTATTTTCGTTAAATTAGTTTCTATTTTTTCAAAAGTCAAATATGACAACAAATTTGATATCATTATTAAACCAATCTACTAAATCAAAAAATTCAAAATTACAAAAAATAAAAATGTAAAAAATTATCATTTTTGTATAATTTTATCTTTGGTAAGTAGAAATAATTTTTAAAAATTCAAAAATAATTTTTTGACATTTATTTTTGTCAAACTAATTTATATTTTATCAAATTGACGACTTTGTCCTTCAAATGGAGTAATAATGTCTTCAATTGTCTTTATTTGAAACGAGATTTAAAATTTAGGATCAAATGTATCACAATTAAAAAGTTAAAAATTAAAGTGATACAAGTCCCAAATTACAGAAATCATTAATGTAATTCACCAAAAAAATAATAAAATAAAGTAATACCAAACTTGGTGTCATATTTGGCACAAGGATTGACATAGAGTGTCATTTATATAATTAAAGATATCTCAATAGGCAATTTGTTTTAAAGTAATAGGCTTAAAACCTAACCAAGTGTGATTATGAAATCCTTTTCATGGAGGTGTGATCTTCATCGAATCACTTGAATTGGCGGCCTCCTAATTTGGTTTAAAGAGCTTAATCCATAACCAAGAAGTTTAAGAATTAGAAACACATAATTAATATGAGGGATTTCATCTTTTTGTAAGTGTCGCATGAAAAATAATTATGTTTGATTTTGTGTACAAAATGGGCACGAGAAGTGAAACTATTATTAGGAGTCAACATCAGCTATGATGGAGAATTGCTGGCCTTACAATGATGACTTTCTTTTTACATTGTCCAAAACATCATTATTTGGAAACAAAATTAGATGCATTCATCAAATGGTTCTTGAAGAATTCTTAGATGACTTTGTTTCAAGATATTATAATTTAAAGGACTCTCCAGTGCGTGTTTGGTAGAAAGGAAAGGAAGAGTTGTAATATACTTCCTGTGTTTCACTTGTAATCCATTCCCTATTATTTTTTAATCTTGAATTTATTAAGGAAAAAAAATTAGCTAAAGCATATTCTCCCCTTATTTTGTTTTTTATTTTTTATTATTTTTAAGGAGACTCGGTTCATAAATTCAATTATAAATTTTTTTTACTCAAAGATTCATATTCTAAAATATTTTGTCGAACAATTTATTTATTTATGTATTTTTAGTTGTGTAGTTTATTCTGTATTTCATTCTTTAATAAAAAAATTAGTTTGTCATTTATATTTAATTCATTTTATATATTTTCTTGTATTTTTTATAGAAAATAACAAGTATTCCTACCAAGTTGGAGAGGAAATGTCTCTATTTATACAAGTAAGAGAATCCCTAGTTATGAACGTTGTACATCAGTAGGGCCATCAAATACTATCAATCAAAGCCATCAACTCTAGCCATTAGGGCTAGGGTTACAAACGTTGAAAATCTATGGCCATTATGGTTAGCAACTCCATCATCAAAAGATGGGAGTTACAAAAACTTAAATTTCTCATGTGCTAATTAATATATTCAAATAAATATGTATATAATGATATTTGAATAAACCTACTACATGAGTCACAAAATGAATACTAATATTGAGTCACAACCCGATCCAAGCCCAATTCTCAAACACATGCCAAGCTAACCCTACACAACCTAACTTAGTCCAAGCCCAAGATTAAGTCCAAATCCAAGTCCAAGACCAAACCTAACCCCAACATATACACAAGCACAAGCCTAGGCCTACTCCAAATCAAGATTAAGTCCAAATCTAAGCTCAACTTTATTTATGCCCACTTTATGAGACACTTCTCATTCACAATTCAATGGTTTCGGCTCATTATTTTTGTATTGCTATCTTCTCACTTAAGAGAATACAAAACCACTCAGACCTACTTCAATCGACGATTAAGTCCCACTTTAATTTCGAATTAAAGTTATCGAAAAATCATATTTTTCAATAGATATAAGATGCTTATTTAAGCTTTTAGCTTAATTTAAGCTAAAAGTATGTGTTTGGTATAACTTAACACGAACTTATAACTTAAATGAAGCTAAATTTCAACTCTTTTGAAAAATTGGTTAGGGGGTGCTTAAACATTTCAATTTAAGCGCGCAGCTGATGTGGGGGTTAAATGACTAAAATGCCCCTCCCAAACTTCATTATTTACGAAACTGCCACTATATATACCCTTTGATCTCTTTTGCCTAGGGGTGGGCAGCGGGTTATCCGACCCGCACAACCCGCCCGAACCGATCCGAACCGCACGTTTATGGGCGGTTTCGCAAATACATTAGGGTAGGGTGCGGTTTGAAAAATAAGAGAATTTCGGGTTGCGGGCGGGTTGCGGGTTTTACCCGTACCCGACACAACCCGCCCGCATTATATAATTTTTTTTTTTTTTTTTTTTAATTTTTTTTTAAAGAAAAAACTGAGCCGTTCATCTAAATTTTTTTTGGCCCAAACAAATCTGGACCGTTTAAACAAACCCTAACCTAATCTCTCAAAACATATCTGATATCTCTCATTCATTCCATTTCACTCTCTCACCTCACCACCGTTGTTCTTCTCTTCTCTTCCATCTCTGTGTTTGCGAGAAGCAACCACCGATCGGCGATCACACTCATCATCTCAGGCATCTATCTCTCTCAGCAAAGCAACCATTGACCACTCTTATCATCTCAGGTAAGCATCTCTCAAAAACATCTTCATTCTCACAGTTCTCTTCTCATCTCACTCTTGTTCTTCCATCTCTCTCAGCGAAGCGACCGATTCCATCTCTCTCTCTCAGCGAAGCACCGATCGACCTTCAGCAACTCTCAGGTAAGTCTCTGTCTCCGTCTCTCTCTCTCTCTCTCTCAGCGAAACAACGATTCCATTCCATCTGATCTGTGTTGATATTTTTTTTTTTTTGATAAATAATGATCTGTCTAGGGTTATTTTCTGTAAATATTTTTTTTGAAAGTCTCTGTCTCCGTCTCTCTCTCTCTCTCAGCGAAACAACGATTCCATTCCATCTGATTCTGATCTGTGTTGATATTTTTTTTTTTTGGATAAATAATGATCTGTCTGTGTTGATATTCAGAGTTGGATAGTTGGATGATCTGTGTTGATTTTTTTGATCTGTCTGTGTTGGATAGTTGGATGATCTGTGTTGATTTTTTTTTTTTGGATAGTTGGATGATCATTATTTATCTGCTTCAGAGTTGGAATGTTGGATAGTTGGATGATCTGTGTCCAACTCTAAATCGATCTGTCTGTGTTGGATGATCTGTGTTGATTTTTTTGATCTGTGTTGAACAGTAGACAATCTGATCTGATCGATTTAGATTTGATTTGTTTGTATCCATCTGATCTGTGTTGATTTTTTTTTTTGTTGATAAATAATGATCTGTCATGAAGGGTTATTTTCTGTAAATATTTTTTTTGATAAATATTTTTTTCATCATTATTTTTTTTTTTCGATAAATAATGATCTGTCATGATAAATATTTTTTTTGATAAATATTTTTTTCATCATTATTTTTTTTTTTGATAAATAATGATCTATCATGATAAATATTTTTGATAAATATGCGAAATTATTGTAATATTCTCAGGCATTTTCTGTTATTTTCTTCCATCTCTTTCATACACATAATTTATAATTCCTAACATTATTTCAATTAAATCAGAATTAACTGTAGATCCTTAATTATTTATTGCAATTCCTAACAACTTAATCTAATTTTAATTTAATTATATTTTAGATCAATTTTTAATTATATTTTATATTTTAGATCAATCCTTAATTATAATTTTATTTTAATTAATATCTTAATTTAATTTTAGGTTTGGAGAAGATGAGAAGATGAGAATATAATTATATTTTTGTTGTGTTAATTTCACTTTATTTATAAAAAAAAAATCTAGCTCACTCTAAAATAAGGTGTGTGTGTGTGTGATACAACTTCCATTAGTTTAGATGGAAAAACAAACAATAACACTTTAATCCAAAATTACATGGGAGATTTTTTTGGCTATATTGAACCCTGAGGGGATAAATCGATGAGCGATTGAAAAACGGTTGCCAAAATCTTCATTTTAAATCAAATTTTGATGAATTTTGTATCATTGAAAAACTCTTTGAAAGTTCTATAGAAAAGTTGGACGATTTTAAAAATCACTAAAAAATTCACATAAAATTCATAAGAAATCAATTAATATACAAACATGGAAGTTAAATCAATTAGTATCCATCACATTGAGACTAGATTCTCAAATGAATATACAATTTGGAGTTTGTACTATTTGCCATGTGAATTAAATAAACACTTCCAATCTGTTTGTTCTATTTGTTTATTTAATGTCTGTAAAATTGATTCTGTGATTGTATTTTTGTAATCCAGTTTAAATGGAGGATAGTATTCAATCTCCCGCAATCAATCTTGTACCTCCGGAATCCACTAATTCTCAAATGAATCCTCTCTTAGTCGAACCCGAACCCGAACTTGAACCTAAGCCTCCTAGGCCCCCAAAGAGAAAGAGTGAGAGTAGTGGAGGGGGGAGAGCACCATCCACAGTTTGGGATCATTTTGACAAAGCTGTAGGGACCGATGGGAAGTGTAGAGCCGTATGTAAATATTGTAAGAAAGAGTATATGGCTGACTCTAGAACTCATGGGGCTAGTAATTTGAGGAGTCATACACCCAATTGTAAAGAATATCCAAATAGGGATACAGATGGTCAACAAACACTAAATCTTAAACCGAAGCAAAATGAGGAGGGTGTTGAGGTTGTAGCAACAATTTTTAATTTTGATACTTGTAAAAGGGCTCTTGCGGAGATGGTGGTCATTGATGAGTTGCCATTTAGATTTGTGGAGGGTGTTGGGTTTAGAAGATTTTGTAATGTCATGCAACCCAAATTCACACCAATTCCCTCTCGTCAAACCATATCTAGAGAAGTGCTCAATATATTCAAGAATGAAAGGGATAAGTTAAAGAAGGCCATGAAGGGTCGTAGAATTTGCTTTACTACGGACACTTGGACATCTATTCAGAATTTGTGTTACATGTGTTTGACTGCTCATTTCATTGATGATAACTGGAAACTTCAAAAAAGAATCATAAATTTTCAACAAGTTGAGGATCACAAAGGAGAAACATTGGGTCGAAAAATTGAGTCGTGTTTGATTGAGTGGAACATTGATAGCATATTCACCTTAACAGTTGATAATGCTAGTTCAAATAATCTTACCATTCAATATTTGAAAACGATAACCAAAGGACATTCTTAATATCCGGAAGGACATTCTTAATATTAATTCTGAAAAATAAAAAATTTTTATTTAATCTGGATGTGCAAGACTCAAACTCATGTGAATTTTTAAAAATTTTCTTAATAATGTCCTTCCAGATTAAAGATCCAAACTCATGTGATGGTGTCCAACTGCCACCTTCCAATCCATACCTGTTGCTCACCACTTTTTTCCATAGAGCCTTGTTTTCTCTTCCATATCTCTACCACCATTTGAGAAGCAAACAAGCATTCACTTCAGCTAAATCTCTCACCCCTAATCCTCCTTGGTTTTTACTCTTGCACACCTCCTTCTAATTAACTAAATGAACCTTCTTCTTAACTTCTGACCCACCCCATAAAAATGTTGCTTGTAACTTTTCAAATGACTTTACTACACTCTTAGGCATTTTAAAGATAAAGAGGTAATAAGTTGGCAAGCTTGAGAGAGTTGATTTGATCAAGGTAAGTCTACCTGCAAAAGACAAAAAAGCTTTCTCTTCCATGCACCCAGTTTCACCCTTATCTTCTCCACTACTGGTTGCCAAGTACTCTTCCTTCTGGGATTGGCCCCAAAAGGCAAGCCTAGATACTTAGTTGACAGCTTTTGAGTAAGACAGTTAAGTTTTTTAGCCATCTCCTTAATTGCTGAATCTTGAATACCAATCCCACATACAACACTCTTATGGAAGTTGATTTTAAGTCCTGACATCAACTCGAAGCACCTCAAAATTCTTTTAATTGTTAATATTTCCTCCTCATCACCCTTACAGAAAACTATAGTATCATCAGCAAACTGAAGGTGAGAAAATCTCATTTCATTAGGTTCCACAACAGTCCCTCTAATCAGTCTCCTTTCCTTAGCTTTTTCCAACAAAATATTCAGACCCTCTGTTACGATGTTAAACAAGAATGGTGACAAGGGATCCCTTTGTCTCAACCCCCTTTGTGGTGAAAACTCCTCAGTTGGTGAGCTATTAACCAAAACTGACACCTTTGTTGTTGAAATGCAGGACTTCATCCACCTAAGCCATTTTTCACCAAAACCCAAATTTCTCATCATAGAGTATAAAAATTCTCAATTCACTGAGTTGTAAGCTTTCTCAAAATCTAACTTTAGGATAACCCATTTTTTCTTTGACCTTTTCCACCAATCCACTATTTTATTGGCTATTAACACAACATCAAGAATATATCTACCTCCCAAAAATGTTGATTGTACATCACTTATAACATATGGTAGTACACTCTCAAGCCTTTTGGACAACACCTTAAGATAATTTTATACACTGAGCTTACTAAACTAATTGGTCTATAATCCCCCAAACTCACAGGGTTGTCCTTTTTGGGTACCAGAGCTATGAAAGAACTATTAACCCCTTTTAGTAGTTGCCCATTAGTGTGAAATGCCTGAACAAACTGCACAACCTTCCATTTCATGACCGTCCAACATTTTCTAAATACTTGCTAAGTTAAAACCATCTGGCCTGGGGGCCTTATTTCCATCCCAAAAGCGCCTTCTTGCCCAATTCGAAGTGGGGATGTGACATATATCTACAACTGGGTCCCCCTGTTATAGCAAAACTACCAATAGCCACCATATATACAAGAGCATCTTTGAACATGTCCTAAGTTTCTTTCCATTCTATACTCAGCGAGAAACTCCTATCCATCCTCTTGGAGGATGAAATGATGAATGCCTCAACTATAAGGATGTCTTCCTCATGGTTAAGTGCCATTAACTTTGGAATCGATGGCTCAACAAAAGCCTTTAAACTTTTGCAAACAGTAAGTATGGGGCAACCAACCCCAAGTAATTCTCCAAATCCACGTAATAAATCTTGGTTGGCAAATGTAGTAGCAAAAATGAGTGAAGGGGAAAGGCAAAGGAAACCATAATCTTCCACGAATCTAAGGCTGATGTTGGCCAGGGTGAAGCAAATAAAACTCATAGTGTGTTAATCAGCCTACTCTTTGTATATATTTAGGAATGTTAATCAACCCAATCTTCATAATTTGAATACTCATAGCTTTTGAATACTCATTTTACAAATCACCTAAAAAATGGGTTTTAAAATTGGGCATGTTGAGCTAAGCTTGCTGGTTGGCCCGTGAACTCACTCCATTGGCCCATGAGACATGGGATGTCAGGCCTAAGGTTTTGGTCTACGGCCCACCTGATCCAAACTTCTAAAAAGATAAAAAAAAGCCTGTTGGGCTTACGATCAGACTTGTAATTCATATTTTTCTAGAGTGGGCCGGCCTGGCCAGGCCCAACAAACTTCCACATTGACGCTCTGTTATTGCGGGTGAAGAACACTTTCTTTCGTCTGGCTTTCTTTGTGGTGGATCACCATCATCGACCTCTGTGTTTTGTTGCTTCACACACAAAAAAAGCAGATGTAATTCTCAAACCTACCAGAAATTTGGAGGGAGATCCATTTTCATATTCTATTGATTCCTGGTGGGACAAGACAATCGCATTTCGAGAATACCCATTTCAAATATTCGTCAGATCTGTTTGGGAATCGGATCCTATTTTGATTTTTCTAGGGATGTCTCGGATTGGGTTCTGATATGGATTTTGGTTTGGTTTGATTTGATTTGCCCAAGACCCATATGGATGTCTCTTAATTTCATGGAGTTTTTGAGTGTGTTTGATGGAACTTGTTGATTTGATGTGCATATTATAGAGGAGGCTAGTTGGTTGGACATTCATTTGTGATTGTGGTTTTGCTGAGGCGTTGAATTTGGTGGTGTAGTGCTGCTCTTGAAGAAACATGTTTTGGAGGGAACGCGAGAGGGAGAACAAAGAGCTGAACAGTGGACCGCCTTGCGGCCAGGTTCGAGTTCTTGTTGTTGGAGATTCAGGTATTTGATTCTTATGTGGAGTATGTTCTTCTTTTGCTCCCATGTTTATTGATTTTTTTGCTTTTCAATTTTGATTTGTTTTGATATTTTGTGTTACTGAACTCTATCAAATTTTATGAAATAACAAGTTTGTGAAAAAGGAGGGTTGAAAGTACTTTAATGGGCGAGCATGGCTCAGATTGGTTCGGTCTAAAAGTAAACCAAGGACCAAACCATTACTTAGGCTACTTAGGCTTCTATGAAATTTGAAACCAAATCAATGCACAAAAAACTTGGAATCAAACCAGATCGAACCAATATAACATAGTTGTTAAGTTTGGAACCATGATTTTTAAAAGCTTATCATCATTTACAACATAATCAAAAGTATTATTGACAACTCAAGAATTGTTTAGATGATTGGTTTAAAAATAAATTCAACAGTATAAGAGGACACTTGCAAGAGTAGAGGGTTGTATATATATTTAATACTAGTAAGATATTTGAGTTTTTTAATATTTTTGGTTGATAATAAATTATGTATATATGTCTATGAAGCATAGGTATCTCACTGGGTAGTGGGTTGTGCATGGTACTTCTACATATATACTGGATACACGGAACAAAACACATTATCGTATTTTTTTCTTCTCAATTTTTGTTGTACTCTAGAGGTACCTATTATAAACCAATGTCGTACCTCAGTCAGAATAGTATTTTCTTCCAGATAAAATTAGTTTTATTGGACCTTTTTTTAATACTTGGGATGATTTTAAAATTAAGTTTTGATTTGTAAGTTATTTAATATGATGACCTTTAATTTTGATTTTTAGCAATAAATGTGAATTGTTGGTTGGATCTTAACCAACTAAACCATTTAATTATTGCATTACACATTAAAAATAAATATTTTTATTACTTTTTAAAGATTTTATTGTATTGATGTACCCATATCATACCAATACCAATACCAGTGCCAGTACACATACATGTACTTTATAGATATATGTATATATTCTTAACAGTCTAGTTTGGCTCTAAACTGAATCTTTAACAATAAAATCATGGTCTGAATTGTGAAGTACAGTTCACCTGTTTTAAGAACCAAGACCGAATTGTGCATTGAGAAAATCAAACCAAACCTTGTAGTTTGGTTTGGATTAGATTGGTTTGCAGGTTTTTTTATTTATTTATTTATTTTATTTTTTTTGCTCAGCCCTAGTAAACAAAGTAGTGTCCTCCCATTTTTATTTTATTTTTTTTTCCTGGTCAGAGCCTATCAGAGTCTAGGATTTGATGTCAAAACATAACATGCTTAAAAACCTAATGAAAACAGTAAAGGAAAAAAGAAGAAGAAGAAGAAGAAGAAGAAGAAGAAGAATAAGCTATTATCGTTAACTTTATGGAGTTTCCATTTGTGGCTATGGAGGTTCCAAGTCAGTCATCTCTCTCAGTGTTTTAAAAGGCACGCGAGGCGCAATGAGGCACAACATTGTGCTTCAAACAGGGCGAGGCGCGGCGCAGCGCAATACACAAGGTGCAGCTTAGGCGCTGAGGCGAGGGCTTTTTTTTGAGGTGCAAGGCGTGGGCTTCATGGGCTTTACCTATTTTTCTACTCTAATTGTTGATTAAGTTCTTTTTTTGTGGGCATACCCACAGGGATTCAAAACTCTTCAATATAAAATGACCAAATGTGGTCAAAAGAGAGCAGAAAGTGATAAAAGATTGAATGTTATGCTTTATATCTTTTGTTGGACATTAAATTTCTAATTTTTAGAAGATTGAATGTTATGTTTAGAGATTATCGAAAATGGTTATGATTTTTTAAATTATACATATATATATATATATATATTTGTTATGTTGAAAATTTTGCCTATTTTATAATCTTGCTTTTCTTCTACTACTTGAGTTTCACTTTGGTGAGGCGCACGCTTCGCCTCGTGCCTCGCGCTTAGGCTATAGGAGACCTTATCGCCTCGGTGCGCTTAGAGTCTTTTAAAACACTGGTCTCTCTCACTCTCACATATTATATAGGAAAATAAGAAAGACCAGCTCATTGGTTCGAAAGAATATGGGAAATTTTTGCCTCCATGTTATGTTACCTTTTTAGTTTTGTAGTTTGCCCACTGAAAGTCCTTTATACGATCACGACATGACCAAGGCGTGTTTGGGTGCTGGACAAGCACGTCCTAGTTGTGTTGCTTATGTTTCCAAGCCTAAACAAAGTAAAAAAATTGTAGATGCGAAGTGGCGTGTCAGATATAAATCTTGGAGGAGCATTACATGGCAAAGGACTTTGGAAAGGTATCCATCAAATGGGATGATTTTTTCAATTTACTAGCTTCAAGGTAAAGACGTATTATAGGGTCAAAATTTGAAGAATAAGTGATTTGGAGATGATGTGATGGAAAGAGCCTTTCCTTCTAGTTTTCTTCTTGCCTCAAATGAAGAAGCTTTGGTGGAGATTATTTTTGGACTTAAGGCAATTGTATTTTTAGGATGTTAGGTTGAGAAGGAATGTGCAAATTGGAAAATGGAGCAATTGATTGATTTGTTCAACATGCTTTATTGGATCAAGGGTGTCGGAGAAGGTCAAGGCTTACCGTGGTGGGTTATTTATTTATTTTTTTCTACGAAAGGGAGGGTTGATGTGATGTCCTTTTATGGAGCTTGATAGGGAGTATGTTACATGGACTCTTCAAAATCAATCACATATTGGTGTTGGACACCTGACAACTTAGACAAGGGTGTGGGATATGTGTCCGATACTTTTCATCGGACACTTCTTACATACTCGTGTTGAACACTATCATTATATGTGTATATTGCTTTGTAATTACTATAAAATGAGTAAAATACCTTTTTGACACTGTATGTTACATATAACATCATTTTATCTCACTTAATAAATTAAAAATATTAAAATATGACATTTTTCGGCAGAGTACACACACTCTTAAATTTGAGGTTTAATGGATTCGGCCTCTAGATACACATCCGCGCCCCACTTGTACCCAATTCCATGTAAGATTTGTGGGGATTGATTCTTGCTTTGTTTGGGATGGAGTGGTGTTTTATAGAGATGTGGCTAGAGTCGTGATTGGTGAGGAGGGTGGGTAGGGAAACACGTGCAAAAGCCTTGATGTCTTGCCCATTTGTGTTTGATGTGGCTTTTGTGGATGAAGCAGAATAAAAGGATTTTTTAAGGTGTAAAGGAGCTTTTGTAGGGGATTAAGAGTTTCTCTTGGGCTATTTTCTATAGTTGGATATTGAGAATAGTTTTTCCAAACATTAATTAAATTAGAGATTTTGTTGATTCTGTTCACTTTGTAAAAAAAATCACCCTGAAAAAGGATAAGTTGCGTGGGAAGTTCTGTAAGTTGTCATGGAAGTTAGCTGCATTGTTTTGGTTTGAAACAATTCAATTTCTTCCTTCCCCAAGATCTTCAAAGTCTCAAAAGTCCCCTTTAACTTTCATCAACCATTTAATGAGTCTAAATCATGGAAACCTTAGATGTCTCTAATAAGTGTTTGCAATGCCAACAAGTAAGAGCTCCCAATTCTATTTACATATTGCATTTTATTCACTTTGAAGAAAATGAGAAGGATGGTGCTATTGTGGTCTCGCAAAGTTGAGTTTTCATGTTTGCCAGGGGTACATATGATCTCAAAGTGGTGAGCATAGAGGAGGAATATTTTACAACTTTCCATCTCTAGAAACATGATTATGGCAACTTCCTTAAAATATTTTTCTAAGTAGGTGCATGATCAACATACCAAACCAAACCAAATCAATCCTTAACTCCCATCAAATGGGGTCAGCTATATGAATCCTTTTTCTCCACGCGACTCTATCAAAGTTATTTCGTTAGTCAAATTAAGTAGATTCATATTTCTATTTACAATGCTAGCCAACGTTAATCTAAACCTATCCGGTCCCCTAACACTTACATCTACCATCACTACATCACATCTCTTCACTGTTGCTTCTATTGGTCTCCGTTGAATATAACCAAACCATCTCAATCAATTCTTTCTCAACTTATCTTCTATCGGTGTTACTCGTACCTATTTCTGAACATAGTCATTCCTAATTCTGTCTTGTCTAGTTTTGCCACACATCCACCTTAGCATCCTCATCGCAGCAACACTCATCTTATCGACATGTTGTTTCTTGATTGCTCAACACTCTGTCCCATACATCGCTGGTCTAATAGCCGTTCTATAGAGCCTACATTTTAGTCTAGTGGGTATTCCTTTATCACACAGTACCCCAAACGCACTTCTCCACTTAAGCCATCCCTCCTTAATCCTCTCCACCCATGAAATACTTTTTGGGGATAGAGAACATGGAAATCAATCCATTCTAGAAAAACCAAAAGGTCACAAAGTATTGTAATTCTTCATGAATATAATCCGGTAGAAAGGGAAGAACTCAAACAAAAAAGAGGTGTCTTTTAGACCATTCACTTATACCTATTAGGCTGAAAAATGATATCATTTCTCACTACTCTGTACATGTGGTGCTCACAAGTTGATGGTTATTTGATGTTAGATAAAAATTTATATTGTTATAAAATTGTATGCGCAATCTAAGCAGAAATTCAATGGTCTATGCTATAGAGTTAGTTAGACAGCTATGCTGAATCAATTCTATGGGATTGGAACTTGTTATCTGCCTTAATTGTGTAGCGTATGTATGTTTTGCACAAGCAAGGTGAAATGTTATAGATATGTCAGTGTGTCAATTTTTCAAAAAATAGGGACAAAAGCATGCAATTGTCTATTTACATAAGTATATATTTATATAAATAGCAACAAAAAATTCATTTTTACATAATAAAGTTATATTTATTGTTTGAAAATAATTACCAAATAACTCCTTTTTGTGTTTAAATGTTTGAAAAGAAATGGGTATAGAAAGGATTTTGTGTTTAAAAAAAACGACGCCCAAATAGTACACATTAATGTGTATGTGTTATGATTTTGTGTTTCAAAAATTGAAAATCATAGAGGGTTGGTAGGTACAAAAGTGTAACTTAATGATAAAATCTTTGGCTCTCCCATTTTTTTTCCTGTTTTAATTTGTATCATGACCCCAAAATCTGTCTTACATGTCCAAGGCCATGCCACATGTTCTCCATGTGTCCAAGGCACATCCGGTTTTAAAATTTTGAAAAATTTATTAAGACATGTAAGGACACATGTTGGGCACAGAGACAACACGATAGATTTGTGCGTCTTAGTGCATGTGGCTTTGCAATCTTTTGCTTTTGGTGCCTAAAAGTTTCTAAATAGGACTTTCTGAGATAGGACATGATGAATCTAAACTGAAGTTGCCTGCATGTGTTCTACCTTTACTATATGGATAGGGAATGGAGGAAGGCATCTGGTCCACCTTTTTTATTTGGATTTTAGTCTTAAAAAAAAAAAAAAAAAAAAAACACCGAATTAGTATACATTAATGTGTGTTTGGGAGGGGAAAGATTGGATACACCCCTAACCATTGGCATAGTGCACATAGTGGTTGCCCCGTGACTTGAACCCATAGGGCCCGTTTGTTTTCAGAGGTAGAATGGAGGGATTCATAGTGAGGGGATCAATAGTGAGGGGATTGTTAATGAGGAGATTAATAGTGAGGGGATTAATAGTGAGGAATTGTTAAATTATTTTTATATAAAATAATAAAACAAATAAAAAAATATAAAAAATTAAACATTAATATTTAAAAAAGAATTCCCAATATATAAAAAATAAAAAAAATTCTAATCCCCTCACTATTTTTCTAATACCATCTCTACCTCCTCCTTTCCAATCCCCCTTCCAAGGCCTTTACTAATACCAAGGAATTAGGAGTCTCCTCCCCATCTCTCAAAACAAACACCCCATATAGTAGTCTTACCTTACTATCAATCCCAATCCCCTCCCTATAACCCTAAACAAACGGGGCCATAAGCTCAAGGTCATTTGGATTTTAGTCTTGCTAGACCAAAATAAAATTTCTTTTCTTCGGTGGTGTATCGTAACTTTTGTTACATCTCTTATCTTTCTTCACCATGTGATGCCAAACTTAATTTCTATTTTCATCTTCTGGTAGGAGTGGGGAAAACTTCTCTGGTTCATTTGATTGTGAATGGTTCTTCCATTGCTCATCCTCCTCAAACAATTGGCTGTACAGTTGGCGTGAAGGTAAGAATCAAATTTCCTTTTGTGTAAGTTTTTATGGCTGTATATTGAATCGTCCTTGAATGTATCCCTGTTTATTTATGTAGCACACAACTTATGGAAATTCAGGCAGCTCTTCAAATAGCATCAAAGGTGATGGTGAAAGGGATTTCTTTATTGAACTATGGGATGTGTCTGGACATGACCGATACAAAGATTGTAGGTCTCTCTTCTATTCACAAATAAATGGTGAGTGCTAAGCATCCTGGCTTCTTTGAGCATTCTTTGCTTCTAGCTGTGTATGTTGAGCTTAAAACACGGAAGGCCCAAAATTTGGAAACCTCCTATGAACAAACTCTCTCAGTAAATTAAATATATTTTGGCAAACCACAATCTAATTGGCACTTAACAATGTATGCATTTAAATTACCGACTGTTTGTGTGTGATTTATCAACAGTGTGCTATAATTGGCTTGACAATGAAGCGTACATCATTCAATAGTGTTGATACACACATCTTAATTTTTGTTTTTGATTTTATTTTTGTTTTTCCTTCTGCCAATTGAACTACTGAAGCCTTGTTACCTATTGTGAATTGTAAGCAAGCTATTATAATTTATACTCTTTTTTTTTCTTCCTCTTCTAGTTAACTATTTCTACTGAATGAAATATAAGACTAACTGCCACAATTATTTTTCCGGCCTGGAATTTATATGTAGGTGTTATCTTTGTTCATGATCTATGTCAAAGAAGGACAAAAACAAGCTTGCAGAAGTGGGCAGCAGATATTGCAACAACTGGGACATTCTCTGCTCCTCTAGGATCCGGAGGTCCCGGTGGCCTCCCTGTTCCTTACATTGTGATTGCTAATAAAGCAGATATTGCATCAAAAGAGGGCACGAGGGGAAGCAGTGGCAATCTTGTTGATGCTGCTCGCCAATGGGTTGAGAAGCAGGGTTTGCTTCCATCAAGCGAGGAACTACCATTGACAGAGAGTTTCCCTGGCAGTGGAGGCCTTATAGCGGTGAGAATTTAAAATTAAAATTATATAATAATTATTGGTCTTCCATATTATGTATCCTCAATGCATATGCTGGAAAATATGGATCCTTTGGATTCCCGAGGAAGTTGAATGAGTGCATTGTTTAAATGACATTTGAAAAAGAGCAGTCTATTTATTTTCCTTTTATAATTGGAAGTGACTGTATGTTATGTCGGCACCTTTTTAAAGGAAGGGCATTTGGGAATTTAATGAATGACTTGATTTTGGATTCTCTAGGTAATGGTTTCATATCACCTGACCAATTTTTATGTTTCATTGCCTTGTAAAAAGAGAATATTGTTTTTATGAGTTGTACGGACATCATTTTTTTAAACTATCTTTATGGAGAGTATTGTGATCATGAACCCATATGTTCAAATTCTTAGGAAATGACTTTCTTGTGTGTGTGTGTTTTCTTCTTTCCTTTTGTTGTCTTTATTATTTCTTGTAACCTTGGGTATGGAGGGATGCAAATATACAGTCTTTATTTCAAGTGATACTGCATTACTCATTTTTTGGGGACAATATCATGTTGGACTCCTTATATTTTCCAAGCTGATGGTTAGTGTAAGGACTAGCATTAGGTTGACAATTTCATGACTTGTATGTGCAACCCTAGGTGCCAATAAGGAGAGTGCATTGTTCTGTCTACATCACTTCAGAAGCTTGAAGTGCTATTAGAGATGTTCATCAATACCAAAAGAGTGCTATGAAAGAGCTTCATTGGCATAAAAAAGATTTTGAACAAGGTGAGGACCAAGGACCAAGTTAGGACAAGTGAAGGCTACGTATGCCAAAATTTGTTAGCTTGGTTGACCATGCACAAGAAGGTCCAGAGGGAAGTTCTAGAAGTGTCACAATATGGTCGACATTTGATGGATGTGGTTGACCATAGTGGAAGTCTATACCATGTTTGTTTAGAGGTTTGGAGAGGGGTGATTTGATTAATAATCCGTGGGTCTCACAAAATTCATGTTTCTTTGGGAAAAATGCCATTGGATTAATAGTCCCATCCTTGAGACTGAATAACCTCAATGAGAGGATTAGCAATCCCATGGGGGAGGTGGGATTGATAATCCAATGGGAAATTCAATTTGCACACCACAAGAAATTTTAGTACACACCATTTGTGCAACTTCTGAACAAAAGTCAAATGTTCTGACATAAACTTATGAACAAAAGTAAATTGTTCAAATAGACATTCCATTCAACTGTTTATGTTCGACAACTGCTTTATGTTCATAAGTTTATGTCCCAACATTTGACTTTTGTCTAGAAGTTTATATCTGAACAATATAAATGGTGTGTATTGAGATTTTCAACGGTGTGCAAATAGAATTGCCCGTATCCCATATTGTAGGTGAAAATATTATTTTTCCCCGCACTTTGCAAAAATAACAGTCTCCTTTTTTATATAATGAGGGTCTTTACCTAATTTCATAGATTTAATCACAACCGACTAATATCACTACACTAGTGAAAAACAAAGGCAAATGTTTATAGCATGAGTATCTTGCAAATTGGATTCACTTCCTAGTGAAAAACAAAATGGGCAAATTCCGAAAAATTTCACTAGTCCGCAAGCTTTTGTCATGGCTTTGTTTAACCTTTAATGATTCTGCTGGTCTTAATATTTATCTTGTTACGAGTGTTGGGATCTTTGAGGGGTGTTGAACTGCTGGTCTGATTGTCCACAAGGTGACAACTTGAGACTTTGGGATGCAGAACTGTTATGTATTTACCAATGGCCGAAAGAGTGACTAATAATAATTGCATGCATTCAAGTAAAACATCTCATATCCAGTGACTCATGGAGTAAACTTGTCATTTATTTAATATGCTTGTTCCTTATATGAGAAAAACGCTGGATATTTTTAGCTGTAAGGCATAATCAGTTTGTGCTCTTCTGTTCTTTCAATTGTGTATTATTGTTAGAAGGAAGTATCAATGTATCATGTTGTACACTAACATGTCCCTATCTTTTAGTTAGCATTCTTTTGATATGTTCATGATGTATGAGTGACCAATACCCCTACCCCTACCCCCTATTCCTGAAAAAAAATAAAAAGAATGGTTTTAAAACATTCATTTAAGGGTGTTAGTTTGCTATAAATAATAATAGTTAACTTATTATTGTCATTTCTCTATCAGTTGGAAAACTGTGTAAAGTTGCATTTCTGTTGAACATGTACAGGCTGCGAAAGAGGCAAGATATGACAAAGAAGCTGTGATGAAATTTTTTCGCATGGTCTGTATACTTGCTCTTTAATGCCTCCTTTAAGTTTGAATTTTTGTATGGGACCTATATTTACTTTTACAGACACCCCTTTTCTCAGTTGATCAGGAGGAGATATTTTTCAGATGGCTTACCTGCACCAAACCCATGGTCGTCTACACTTGTTCAAAGACCATTGCAGCGATCAAGTGAAAGTTTGAGTAATGAAGATCAACTATACAAGAGTACAGGGTACGATCTGCTCAAGACTACATTTTCATGAGTGTTGCATGAGAAGTTCCTTCTGCCTCAGATAAAGGTTGATTTTGTTTGATTATTACAAGTCAGGGAGGAACCGTAGTTTCTTCATCCTTGGCCAGATGAAATTACACTTCTATGCTAATTAGACCCCCCTTATTATTTGTTTTGTGGGGCTGGGGTTTTGTTGAGCTGGCCATTGGACTAAATGGCTGTCACATGCATGTCATGCATGCCAAGCATCACTCTTTGACAGCATATAAGTAACCATTTTTCTTATTTTTTAATAAATATATACATATACATAAAGGGCACCAAGGGGGTGTCACCAATATACAATCTAAGGACATCAACACAATAAACCAAAAACCCTTATAGATCTAATCTACTCAAAAGACTTGATAAAATCCAGAAATTGGTTTACAGATGGATCAACAATACCTAAAAACAAACTATACAAAAGGGACAAAAATATACTTTCCGACAAATAATCCACATCAAACACAAAGGCATTAACAACCATGCCTTTTTCTTCTCTTCCCCTGTCTGTGTCCTCTTCAAGATTGAATAAGGTCAACACATTCCTAGTGAACACCCACATCAACCCAAACACCTTAAGGTACCTCACAATGAGTGAGAAGATGAATACGACACCAATGATAGAAAGTTCTTAGTTGCATAACAAGGGGGCCGGAGAGCTGGGGCACATTGAAGACTGTAAGGTTGAGAGTGGCTAGGGGAACAAATATGTATATTATATAGATACTTGCTATTTGTAATACATGTTAAATGTCTACATTATACTACCACTTAACTATTAAACTTAATCATTGTAGATTCTTATTATAATCTTCACTACTCAATCAGAATCCAAACTAAAAGATCTATCAAAAACATCAACATCTTTCAATTTCTAAGGAAAGCCAAAATCTAAGATATTATTTACATATTTTATTTTGCATTGGTAGCTTTTCTTTTAATTATTTGAATTCATATGTTTTAGTAGTCCCATCTCAATTAGAGCCTTGATTCTGTCTCGACAGGAATGAGATTCTAACAAGATTCATGTTCTGAATTGCAGAACTGCAGTTCTAGAGAAGAAACTTCATCCTCGGTATGCGATTCATTCAAACAAGCAAAAAATTGCCACCATCTAATTAACTTATCAATAATAATGTTCTTTTCATGTGCCACCACCCAAGCAAAAGAGGCATCCTTGAATGGTGCCTTTGAAACCTAAATACCTTTCCATAGGAAGGATGAATTTATCTGTTTTATAGTACGATTTCACCTCAAAGTTTCTGGATCTTGACCTCTTCCATCTCAAATCTATGTGGGAAATTGCTTAAAGTCGAGAAGTCCATCAATTCCCACACCTTCGTCCCAATCATTCAACTCTCTTCAAAGGGCAATATTCCAAAAGACTTAACTACCTTGCTTCTCCCTTTCCTAGATTTGTTTCTACCCTTATAATTGGTTGAACATTCCAAATTTGGTAACTCTCCAATTGGTCCTGCCATTGACCCCCACTCTTCTAACCCCTATTATGAGCATTGCTACACCACCTAGTTTTAATAGCTTGAAACAGTTATGTAGCTTCCTTCTCAAAACCCTTGCAAGATACTAATGAAATATTTTAAATCCGTTCACACGCTTCAATACCCAATTTGATACCTCCAATTGGTCAAACACATCTCCCTCAAACTACTAATCCCTTGGCTAACCCCTTCTGGACCTAACATAGCGACAAGCTAAGAAGTATGGACACTCCTAAGAAGGTAGCATGTTCGTGTCAAAGACACTGTTTGACTCATGTCAAACATTTGCCCAATTGTTTCCTATTAATTATTAAATTTTTTAGACCCGGACATTCTTCAAACACTTAGGGGATACACGGGTCTATTGCTTCAACATATATGAAACATATTACAAACAAAATAACTTGAGATCCAATGATAAAAGAAAAACAATGTAGATTTATACTTGTTAATCCCACATCTTTGAAACTTTAGAAATTAGTGCTATGTTGATTTTTTTTTTTATTTAAAAAATAAAAAAAATATAAAAAATAATCTTTGAATGAAATATTCATATGTATGAGAAATAATAAATACATAAAACTATATATTTTACACGTGTCCTCCACATGTGTCATGCATTTTTTTGAAAATAGTCATGTCGGTGTATCCATGCTGTCTTGTGTGTTTGTGTCCATTCTTTTTAGGCGAGGTTCCAAAATCCCCTTAGATCCCACACTTTCTGCCACCTGCCACCAATTCCACCACAGGCCCTGTGATGTTCGAACCCAAATCATCCATTATTAACTCCAGCCAGAAGCCCCTTCTTGCATATGTGCCTCAACTATAGGTAAAACTGCCAGACAGCTCCCATGGCAGAACATCCCTTCACATTGCAAACGTAATGATGCCTAGCCACTTTACCTCCCTCAGCTTCAGGCCCTGTAGTTCAACTCACTGGAGGTGGGCAACTTTCTAGAAGAACTCCAAAATTTATCTTTTTTTTAATAGAAGAGAGCACCATTTTTTATGGTTGTGTCAACACCTCTGGCCATAATCCTTGATGTTTCCAGCCCAGACTCTGCCATTCCATTTTCATCCAATCCTTCTGATTCAATGCAATCTTGTCTTCTTTCATCGTATGAGCGATTGAGCTACAATACTCTTCTGTCTTTAAGTTTTTTGTTGCTGCTAACATGGCCGTAGGTAGGATTTTATCCCCCCTTCACACTTATCGTGGGCTGTTGAAATCCCATGCACATTACCTTTGGCAGTAGCATTGTTTAAATTTGAGGAGTGAACCCCTAGCCTTTATTGAGAGTCAACTACCAATGATGCCCACCTTCTCCCCTCAGGCCCCTGCATCCTTGTTTCATCACCATGGGAGCTCTTTCCTCTCCTTTGATAAACCTTAGTGGTTGATATCTGGTTGGGACACCGCTACTGCTTAAAGGACCTCAGTTTGGTCAACTTAAATTAGCTGGCCCTCGGGGTGCAAAAGGCCTCATACTGAGTCCACTTGACCCTTCACCACAAAAATAGTTGAATTGGGCTTTAACAAACCTGGGTCCTGAGCTGCCACCAACTCCAAATTTGTATCCGTCTCTGCTATTATAATCAGATCTAGACCCAGCAACCTACTTGCTTTTTCAACCCTATGACTAGCAACTAAACAGGATGTAAGTGCCCTTGGTTTGGGTTGCTCACAAATGATCGGGCATTCAGCTTAATGGTTATGACTTGCTCTGTCATGTTTATAAACCTATTCCTATACCCACAATCTAAAAAATACATTACAACAAAATCACGAAAGAAAATAAACTATTCATAGTCATCAATTATCTTTCTCTTCATAAATAACTATATTCATAAGTTGCAAGCAACAAACCACTGGTTTAATCCAATGGTTAGAGTGAAATCTTATAGATCCAATGATCATATTAGGTCATATTTATTATATGGCTGAGATTTAATTATAAATAAAGGTACAATAGTTAAAAGTTGCAGGTACAGCAACCATACAAAAAATCACTCTAGGATCACTTCAGGAAAAATCACTCTAAAGTATATCCTTGCTCATATATGTGTCCATGACATGGTTCCATACCTATATCCAACTTTTGGATACCTATCCCTATATCCTAATATTTAGGTTTATGAAAGTCTTGTTAGGGATTTAAAGAGCCACGAACGCATAGAAATCACTAGGACCGCCCAATCGTTAGGGATAAATTCCAGAGTCCACACAATTAACGCTAGGGCCCAACATACATTGTTTGAAACTCATACCTGTTTAAAAACTTGAGCCCATAAGTGAAGAGGCCATCCAATGTATATTAAGATCCTAAGAAGCACGGACACTTCTAAGAAGATGATATATCTGTGTCGTGTTGTGTCGTGTCGTGTCGTGTCGGTGTTGGACATCGACACTCTTTGGACTCTCTTAGGACACGTGTCCGACACTCTTCAAAACGTGTTTTATTTTTTTAATTTTTTAAAGACTAGGACACTTTTTGGACACTTGGAAAACGCATGTGTCAATCGCTTAAACACACGTGTCTATCGATTAGACACAAGTAAAATTAATTATAAGTTTAAACAAACAACTTAAGATACAATAATAAAACAAAACCCATATAAATTTATAAGAATTAGTGTCATATTGTATTTTTTGTTATATTTGAATGATATATTTATATATATAAGATATAATAAATATATAAAATTATATATTTCATGCGTGTCCCCCACGTGTTGTGTTCTGTATTTTTTGACCCGTGCAGTGTCACATGTCGGTGTCCATGCTTCTTAGGTGACGCTTGAACCTTTTCTTTGCATAGAAACTAAGAAACACAGGCACAGACACAGACACAGCATGACACAACAATAAAATAAATATTTTAATATAATTTTATTTGTTATGTAGATTAATATTATGTCTACAAACAACTAAAATTAACAAAAACTGACATTAATTCAATATTAAAAATAAAAATAAAAAATACCAATAAATTTAAATAATTAATAGATCATTCATAACAAAAATGATCAACATTGTCTTAATACTAAAAAGTTATTATCCAATGCATCATTAGTTAGTTCATTACAATTTAAGTGAAAAGTAATAAACATTCAACCTCCAACATCCATCATAAGCATCAAAGAAGAGGGGAAAAAACTAATTGTGTGCCCCTGTCATGTCCTCAGCGTGTCCTTCGAAAAAAAAAAAATTTAATTAAATAAAGAGACAGCGTGTCCACTGTGCTGTTGGTGTGTCCGACTCTACCATGACACCTGTCTTGGAGTGTCCATGTTTCATAGTCTTAGAAAATATACAATATAACCCTGATTAAAAGTATTGTTGGATTCAAGTTGGTATATGGCAACTGTGATGGGCATGGACGAAGCCTGCAACCCAGCTGTTGGTTTGCAAAATTTTGGTCTCATGAGAAGTAACTGAAGCTGAAAGAATAGCAAGTTTTGTGATACGGAATGGGCACCCAGCCAATTTTGGCATTACAATTTTATATTGCACGTTTTTAATATTTATGCTTTTTTATTATAATTAGGAGTTTAGTAATTGGCATCTTTTTTTATTAGTGATTAAGTTTCCAAATAATATTAGGATTAAATTTTCTATTTTGATTAGGCTTTTTAATGCAGCACGCTCAGGATTTGAAGCAATCTTATGCAGATTTTAGGGTTAGATTTAGTGAAATAATGTCGAGGGTTGTTTAGGGTTTGGTTGTGAAAGGTTTGGGCTTAAGGAGAAAGGAGATTGGTGGCAAAATAGAGACTGTTTATAGGTTATAAACAGTAATATGTGAACAATAACAGAACATAAAAGAAGAGGAAGAAAATTAAGAATCACTCCTAGAATCTCTTGAGAATCACACCTGGAGTCTGCATCACACAACCCAAAAGAGACTCAAAGCTTTAGAAAATTCTATAAAAATCTTATCATTATTGAATAAGAGGCAATACAAAGCTTTATATAGAACTAGTGGACTTACTTATCCAACTAGAACAAAAAAATAGAAACTACTAAAAAATTATGACTTCTAAAACTTATCTAATATCAAATAAAACTCATAAACATATTAAACTAATACCAAGACATATGGGCCATGACAACGACCTATTCTTGAGACTTGTTTCGGAAAATTTTCAAATTATAAAAATGCCCTTGACCCTAAAATGAATTAAACTCACATAAAACATAAATATAAACGAGGAACATCTCAAAAGTAATTTATTCTAGTTCCCAAGTGAGCCCGACATCATCCAACACATGCCAAATCAAAACTTGAGCCTTGGAAGCATATTTTCACGCTGTTTATAGATTTTACTATTATGCTGCCATTTGTCTCCATTAGTTTTAGGTTTCAAATATTAGGGTTTTTCTTTTTATTATTCATCTTTGATTTAATGAGATATTGAGTAGGTTGTGTTGTGGCCTTTGAGATTAGAGTTGTGGCTTTTGTGCGTTTCCTACTCTTCTATTTCTTTTTCTCTACAATGTTCTACATCAATTTGGTATCAGAACATACCTCAATCCATCTCTATTTCAAAGCCTTTAAGAGCCCCTTGTCGGAAC